CAATCCGTCAAGTAGACTAATGCAAACAAGGAAACTGTAATATTAACTTTAACTGTAATGTTAAATCATGATTTTCATTATGGTGAGGGGATTGAGGTGGAGTGGGGGGTAAGACATTTGTACTGTATCTGTAGGTGTGCGGATCAGTATCAGTATCTGCTGTCTGACTGGGGCTTTAACCTACCTGTGTTTCAGAACGAGAAGGACCAACCACAGGCTGTGGTGAACCCCTACGGCTCAGAAGTGAGTCTTTTCTGTCATCTTTTTCCCACAAAGGGGGGGGGGGGGTTGGAGGGGGTACATTACTGGATCATTTAATTCTTTTAACTTGATTACTTCTGAATTTGAGTTCGAGTTTTACCAGTTACCCCTCACCTACCCGGGCTCAGGCCCCTGCAATACAGGATGGCTGAGGCTGCTAGAGGAATCAGTGTTACTGACTGGCGCGTGACTTGTTTCCTCGTCTCTGCAAGACAGTTCGTGTGCAGGTGGTTCCACATCTCTGATCTTCTACAATGTTGTCAGTTGTCAGTTGTCTTCCTCAAGGTTCCTGATCAAATACCCCCTCCCTGGCGGTCTCCTAGCAGCCCTGAGCAGAGAAGAAGAGAAACAGGGAACCCCCCCCTCTTCACCCAGGCTTGGGCTACACGAAATAACCAGCAGAGAGCTGTTAGGGTGAAGCAGAACCTTAACACAATGTGACTTTCTCAGCTTCCTAGCGTTTGTGGCGAGCTCATTCTGGCTACGAGCCCAAAATCATTATTTTCTACTTACTTCAAAGACGACAGGAAGTGAAAACGGGTTCACCTGTGGAGCATTCTGCTTCTGGGTCCGGCCAAACTGCCTGAAGTTTTGGAAAAAACACAATAGCGGGCGAGGGAAGGGAGGGAGGTTTTGAAGAGGCAGGCGAGATGCAGAATAAATGTTTGAAGGTTTTGTCTCCTCTTGAGGAGCTGTGTGGTCTCAGTGATGCCCCATGGGACATAACTGCAGCAGGGCTGATTTTTAACACTTGATCCCACGTGGCCTTAGGGGTGGGGGGTGGTTTATTTGTTCTTCTTCGGGGGGGATGTAAACAGGGAGTTGGTGTGAATCTTTAAGCTGATTTGTCTTTGCTTATTTTCTCTCTTGTTTGCTTTTTCTTTTTGGAAGTCTTAATGACGGATGTTTCATGTATTACACTTTAAGTGTAATTTATATGCTTTTTTATATTTTATTTCTTTCGTCCCCTATCATTGTCAATTTTTCTTTTTCGCCTCTTTAGGTTTGGGTGGGAATTGGAGCAGGGTTCTGGGATTGTTTTGATTGCTGATATAAATAATATAACCCTTTTAAAAAGATTATTATTATCTAGTACTTTTATGGACACTCCACTCAAAGCGTATTACAAGTAATGAGGAATCCCACTATCACCACCAGTGTACAGCCCCACCTGGATGATGCTCCAGTACTCTCACCACACACCAGCTATCAGTGGGGAGGAGAGCAGAGTGATGAAGCCAGTTCAGAAATGGGAATTATTATGAGGCCATGATTGGTAAAGACCAGGGGAAAATTTGATCAGGACACTTAGGTAACACCCCTACTCTTTTCGGGAAACACCCTGGGATTTTTAATGCCCACAGAGAGTCAGGACCAGGGTTTTAAGTCTCATCCGAAGGACAGCACCTTTTACAGTATTGTGTCCCCATCTCTATACTGGGGCCTTAGGACGCACACAACTGCAGGGTGAGCGCCCCCTACTGGCCCCCCCAACACCTCTTCCAGCAGCAGCCTTAGCTTTCCCAGGAGTCTCCCATCCAGGTACTGACCAGACTCACACCTGCTGAGCTCCAGTGGGGCTGCCAGCTGTGAGCTGTGAGCTGCAGGGTGATAGAGCTGCTGGCTAAACATCCGTCTGTCTGTTGTCCACAGTACATGGAGCAAAACAAAGGAGCCTGTGCTCTCACTGGGGACGAGTTCAGTCTGTTGACATACAACAAGGTAAGTCCCTTTATTATCAGTCAGGTGCCTGTTAACCTTTCATTCCACTTGCTGGAGAAGAATGGGGAAAACTCCATGCTTGCAGGCAACAATCATCTTCCAGTTCTCAATCCATTACTGATCTGGAATGAGGTCACTAATCGCTTGCTCTCATGGTGGCCTGGCTGTTAATACTGCTTCCTCGCTGATCTGGGGTGCTGGGGCTCGACCTCGGGGTGCATATGGAAGACAAACCCAAGGGGGTCTCTTTCATGTGTACCAGTTTAATTCCAGCAGTCAAAGACACATTGATTAATTAACATCTCTAACGTGTTCTTGTTTTCTTTTGCTCTTTGCTGTCTGTCTCCGAATTCCAGGAGACCCTGCTGGAGGACAGCTGGCCAGAGCAGAATCCGGACAGTCTTGTTGACGCTGGCCCGGCTGACAGGAAACAGGTCAGTCTGTGTTTCTGCCTCTGTCTGTCCTCCCCCGACCTTCCTGACCAGCAGGGAGTCAGGGTGTCTGCAGGTGTATCAGTCAGTCTCCCACTCTCTTCAGCTCCGAGATGAGGCTTTTTATAAGGGCGCCCTATGACTGGATTGCACTTAGTCTGCACCAACGTCTGCCTTGCTATTGGCTGATGTTCATACAATTGCAATTGTAATCTTGATTAGATTACACTCACTCTGCACCAATACTCTGCCTTGCTGTTTGCTGATCTTGATGAGATTACACTTAGTCTGCACCAACACCCTGCCTTGATATTGGAAGATCTTGATAAGATTGCACTTAGTCTCTGCCAACACCCTGCCTTGCTACTGTCTGATCTTGATAAGATTGCACTCGATCTGCACCAACACTCTGCCTTGATATTGGCAGATATTGATAAGATTGCACTTGATCTGTATCAGCACTCTGCCTTGCTATTGGCTGATCTTGATAAGATTACACTCACTCTGCACCAATACTCTGCCTTGCAGTTTGCTGATCTTGATAAGATTACACTTAGTCTGCACCAACACCCTGCCTTGCTATTGGCTGATCTTGATAAGACTGGCAACCTTACCTTCAACGCACTCACCCTTAACACCAGTGCCCCTCAAGGCTGTGTGCTCAGCCCTCTGCTGTACTCCCTGTTCACCCACAACTGGACTGCCAAGTTCAGCACAAAGAGGTGGGGCTACACTTTGTTTGAGGTGAGACCCCATTACCTGTAAAGCACTTTGAGTGGAGTGTCCAGAAAAGTGCTATATACAGTAAGTGTAAGCAATTATTATTGTTATTATTATAAGATTGCACTCAGTCTGCACCAATACCCTGCCTTTGTATTGGCTGATCATTCTTTTTCCT